CGTGCGGGGCGAGGCGGGCACGGTCCCCCGGCGGGGGGGCCCCGAGCGGTGGGGAGCTGCGCTAGGGAGGGAGCTCCGCGCTGGCGGGCGCCTCGGTCAGGAACATCGCGGGGAGGGGGAGGGCCCCTTTGTCTGTGATGCGTGTGCGGGGAAGGGGCAAACCCGGCCGCGGCTCCCGCCCGCCGTCTGCGGGAGCGGGGGGGGGGAGAGGTAACGCGAGTGCTCCCGTTAAGGAGGTTTAATTTATAGCATTATTTGCGCCGCTTCAGTACTTCGGGAGACAGGCGGAAAACCGGAGCCCTTTCAGAAAGACCCGCTGAATTCCGTTTCTTGAATCCCCGAGTTGAGACGCCTGCAGCCTCTCCCGTGCAGCTCTGCCCGGCGCGCACCGTCAGTGCGGCGTTTCGCGCCCGGCGCTGTGTAAGAGGCGCAGAGAGCCGGCTCCTGCCCGCCGCCCACAAAGCGGCCCGGGGCTTGCTGCCCGAAAGCCGCTTTCCCTCGGGGCCGGGCCCCCCGGGCAGCTCGGCCCCGGGGTGCCCGCTGCTGCAGCACCGGCTGCCGGGCGGAAGCCGACCGCATTATTTTTATGCGCACGTGGAGCACGTTTCATTGCTAAATCGATGCCTACGCATAAGCGACTGAAAAAACGGAGTCATGGATCTTAACACGTGAAAAATGTCTTTCATGCGCTCACCAAAGACTGAATGAAGGCGGCTTCAGAAATTCATGAATGGGAGTTTGGGCGGCTGGGAAAACACGGGCAAATCTTCCACCAGAGGAGATTCCGACCTGCCGGGAACCCCGTCCCTGCAGCAGCCCCTCCCGGCGCGGGGGTCCGGGCAGTAAGCCTGCAAGGAGAGGGAGCGATTTGGGGACGCGTGTCGATGGTGCAGGCGGGTGCGCGGGTGTCAGCCGGGCCGGGAGGGCTACGTGTGGGTGCCCGAAGGGCTGCCGCGTCTCCCGCAGCAGTCGGGGTTAACGAGGGGCTGCGTGCCGGTGCTGTGGCTCCCGGAGACCGCTTAGGAAGCGACAGACAAAGGATTCCGTCTCCCGGTCTCGGTGCCTGCGCTGTTGCAGACTGGGCAGCAGCTTCCTGCCTGCCGCCGGCCGCGGGCCGCCGTGGCAGCAGGGCTCCGTGCCCGCCCCCCGCCCCGCGGTGGGGTCTCATTCTGCTTTCCCGGCTCTCCCCGCCGCGCAGGGGGACTGCCGCAGGACGGCTCTGCGTTGAGAAACCGCGCCGCCGACGGCACCCACTCGGGAATAGGGCGGGCGGAGGGGGGTGCGCAGGCGCGTGGGCAACGGGGGGGGGGGGGGGTGTCCCCCCCGCCAGCAGCCCCCGCCGTTTGGGGGCCGGAGGAGGGAGGCGGCCTGGCCCCTGTCTGCCGTGGCGGTGCGCGGCGGCGGAGAAGGGGCCGCTCCCGGCAACCGCACC